CCAGCTCTACTTATCCCCCGCTCAGTTGTTACCCCCAGCTCTACTTATCCCCCGCTCAGTTGTTACCCCCAGCTCTACTTATCCCCCGCTCAGTTGTTACCCCCAGCTCTACTGATCCCCCGCTCAGTTGTTACCCCCACCTCTACTTGTCCCCCGCTCAGTTGTTACCCCCAGCTCTACTTATCCCCCACTCAGTTGTAACCCCCCACCTCTACTTATCCCCCACTCTGTTGATCCCCACTCTGTAGTAATCCCCAGCTCTGCTGATCCTCCGCTCAGTAGTGCCCCCAGCTCTGCTGATCCCCCATTCAGTAGTAACACCCCCACCCTGCTGATCTGTCACTCAATAGTAACCCCCAGCTCTGCTTATCTCCAACTCAGTAGTAACCCCCAGCTCTGCTGACCCCCAGTTCAGTAGTAACCCCCAGCTCTGCTGATCTCCCACTCAGTAGTAACCCCCGCCTCTGCTGATCCCTAACTCATTAGTAACCCCCAGCTCTGCTGATCTCCCACTCAGTAGTAACCCCCAGCCTCTGCTGATCCCTAACTCATTAGTAACCCCCAGCTCTGCTGATCTCCAACTCATTAGTAACCCCCGCCTCTGCTGATCCCTAACTCATTAGTAACCCCCAGCTCTGCTGATCTCCCAACTCATTAGTAACCCCCCTCTGCTGACCCCCAATTTAGTAGTAACCCTCTCTCCTGCTGATCTCCCACTCCGTACCTCCTCTGGTTTGCTGATTCTCCTCTCTCTCTGGTTCCCACCCTATTGCTCCCACAGTTCACACCATGTGTGACATGTGCTAGTTGCTCCACCACAATGCGGACCCCGCTCACCTTCCTGCTGCTCCACACTACACAGCAGATGTGACGTCTGCACCACACACTCCCAGAATATAGACACATGAATTGGGACTGACTGCGGGTGACGTCTTTCCGGCTCGGTTGTTGGTTTCCCGGGGCGTCCTGGCACATGCCTGATGAAGGGGTCCTGCGTGACTCCCAAACGTTGCCTTGCTGTAACTATGTGATCGTTCATTAAAACATTTGGCCCCGTATTGGTGATCCTCGGTGTGCTGGTGACATTCTCCCTCGCTGATTCTGTTCCAGACGACGGTCACTGCAGCACCCGATATACACACCCGCCATTTGTAACGCAGGAACGTGTGCGTTTGGATTGTGCAGAAGCACCAAGAAAGAGAGGTGGGGGATAATGTTTGAAGCAAAACAAACACAACGTGTGAACAGGACTGTAAGGTGACCATTTTATTTAGTGCCGGGGCTTTGATTGGCATTCAGAGTGCTTTGAAAAAGTGTCCTCAATGCCACATTTTGAAGCCAGTGTGAACAAGGCCTTACTAATGACCCTTCAAATTCCTATCAATATTTACACTGTCTGCTTCTTGTTGGTCTGCCACCTTACCCCACCCTAGAAGGACTTTGTCTGCCCCCCACCTCCACCCTAACTGGACTTTGTCTGCCCCCCGCCTCCACCCTAACTGGACTTTGTCTGCCCCCCCGCCTCCACCCTAGAAGGACTTTAACTGCCCCCCACCTCCACCCTAACTGGACTTTGTCTGCCCCCCGCCTCCACCCTAACTGGACTTTGTCTGCCACCTTACCCCCACCCTAGAAGGACTTTGTCTGCCCCCGCCTCCACCCTAACTGGACTTTGTCTGCCACCTTACCCCACCCTAATAGGACTTTGTCTGCCCCCCGCCTCCACCCTAATAGGACTTTGTCTGCCCCCCGCCTCCACCCTAATAGGACTTTGTTACCACCCGCCTCCACCCTAAAGCTCTGCCCCCGATGTTGTCTGCCCCCCCCCCGCCTCCACCCTAATAGGATGTTGTCTGCCCCCCCCCCCGCCTCCACCCTAATAGGACTTTGCCCCCCCCCCACACACACACATACTGTACATTATACATGTGATAGGACCGTCCCCCCCCCCCATACTGTACATTATACATGTGATAGGACCCTCCCCCCATACTGTACATTATACATGTGATAGGACCCCCCCCCCATACTGTACATTATACATGTGATAGGACCCTCCCCCCATGTACTGTACATTATACATGTGATAGGACCGTCCCCCCCATACTGTACATTATACATGATAGGGACCCTCCCCCCCTGTACATAGGATGTGATCCCCCCCCCCATACTGTACATTATACATGTGATAGGACCGTCCCCCCCATACTGTACATTATACATGTGATAGGACCCCCCCCCATACTGTACATTATACATGTGATAGGACCGTCCCCCCCATACTGTACATTATACATGTGATAGGACCCTCCCCCCATACTGTACATTATACATGTGATAGTGATCCGCCCCCCCCCCATACTGACCGTCCCCCCCATACTGTACATTATACATGTGATAGGACCGTCCCCCCCATACTGTACATTATACATGTGATAGGACCGTCCCCCACACACACACATACTGTACATTATACATGTGATAGGACTGCCCCCCCATACTGTACATTATACATGTGATAGGACCCTCCCCCCATACTGTACATTATACATGTGATAGGACCCTCCCCCCATACTGTACATTATACATGTGATAGGACCCTCCCCCCATACTGTACATTATACATGTGATAGGACCGTCCCCCCATACTGTACATTATACATGTGATAGGACCCTCCCCCCATACTGTACATTATACATGTGATAGGACCCTCCCCCCATACTGTACATTATACATGTGATAGGACCCCCCCCCCCCCCCCCACACACACACACACAATATATAGAAGCACACAGAGACCAGACAGAAGTCAAATCATTTATTTACACAAATTGTAAACATAGCACAATTCAGAAATGTCGGAGGGGCGTGTTTCATTAACATCCCGCCCACTTTGTGATGTCATTAGTGCAATCATCTATAAAGGGGTGGGCAGGAATCATGGGTACCAAAGCGTACCTGTACACGGTGACAAGAACATATTGCTCGTGTCACTGGTGACATCACAAGGTGCGGAGAGAGCCCCTCCCCAACCCATTGGCTGCAGTGTTCAGGTGACAGCAGTTGGCCAGGGACACAATGAACTTTATTTACAGAATTTCAGGATAAATCTGAGGGTGTCATTTGGTACCCTCCCCCCAGAACACCCCAATACATCACTTGTAGTGGGCTCCCAGTGTGCCTTTCACTACGCCCCTCCGACACGACACACCACCTATCCGTAGAAAGAACAGAAGATTTCTGGAATTATCAATGTGGCACAAAAGTGTAGAAATGTCCCATTTATTTACATATATACAGTGAAGGGTGGCACCATATGGGGTGGTGGTGTATGGGCGGAAGGCAGTGAAGGATGGCACCATATGGGGTGGCGGTGTTTCACCTACGGGCGGAAGGCAGTGAAGGATGGCACCATATGGGGTGGCGGTGTACGGGCGGAAGGCAGTGAAGGATGGCACCATCTGGGGTGGCGGTGTACGGGCGGAAGGCAGTGAAGGGTGGCACCATATGGGGTGGTGGTGTATGGGCGGAAGGCAGTGAAGGATGGCACCATATGGGGTGGCGGTGTACGGGCGGAAGGCACAGCGCCAGTCAACTCAACATTGCACATGGAAAATCTGTCATACATTCAGTACTGAAACATACTGGCCGCTTCTATATACAGCCCCCAGGAGGACTGGAGGGGGTCTGTGTGCAGGGTCCTCTACCCTCCTCTTCTGGTGAATATTGCCGGTCTGTGCGGTGTACCCCGGGTCCCCTCTCCCATATTACAGGTCTGTGCGCGGTGTACCCCGGGTCCCCTCTCCCATATTACAGGTCTGTGTGGTGTACCCCGGGTCCCCTCTCCCATATTACAGGTCTGTGTGGTGTACCCCGGGTCCTCTCTCCCATATTACAGGCCTGTGCGCAGTGTACCCCGGGTCCCCTCTCCCATATTACAGGTCTGTGTGGTGTACACCGGGTCCCCTCTCCCATATTACAGGTCTGTGCGCAGTGTACCCCGGGTCCCCTCTCCCATATTACAGGTCTGTGTGGTGTACACCGGGTCCCCTCTCCCATATTACAGGTCTGTGTGGTGTACCCCGGGTCCCCTCTCCCATATTACAGGTCTGTGTGTGTGTACCCCGGGTCCCCTCTCCCATATTACAGGTCTGTGTAGTGTACCCCGGGTCCCCTCTCCCACATTACAGGTCTGTGTGGTGTACCCCCCGGGTCCCCTCTCCCATATTACAGGTCTGTGTGGTGTACCCCGGGTCCCCTCTCCCATATTACAGGTCTGTGTGGTGTACCCCCCGGTCCCCTCTCCCATATTACAGGTCTGTGTGGTGTACCCCGGGTCCCCTCTCCCATATTACAGGTCTGTGTGGTGTACACCGGGTCCCCTCTCCCATATTACAGGTCTGTGTGGTGTACACCGGGTCCCCTCTCCCATATTACAGGTCTGTGTGGTGTACACCGGGTCCCCTCTCCCATATTACAGGTCTGTGTGGTGTACCCCGGGTCCCCTCTCCCATATTACAGGTCTGTGTGGTGTACCCCGGGTCCCCTCTCCCATATTACAGGTCTGTGTGGTGTACCCCGGGTCCTCTCTCCCATATTACAGGTCTGTGTGGTGTACCCCGGGTCCTCTCTCCCATATTACAGGTCTGTGTGGTGTACCCCGGGTCCTCTCTCCCATATTACAGGTCTGTGCGGTGTACCCCGGGTCCTCTCTCCCATATTACAGGTCTGTGCGGTGTACCCCGGGTCCTCTCTCCCATATTACAGGTCTGTGCGGTGTACCCCGGGTCCTCTCTCCCATATTACAGGTCTGTGTGGTGTAACCCCGGGTCCTCTCTCCCATATTACAGGTCTGTGCGGTGTACACCGGGCATCCTGCTGCCATTTTCCACATCCTCTCTCCCATATTACAGGTCTGTGTGGTGTGTGACCGGGTCCCCTCTCCCATATTACAGGTCTGTGTGGTTCACATACCCCGGGTCCCCTCTCCCATATTACAGGTCTGTGTGGTGTACCCCTGGTCCCCTCTCCCATATTACAGGTCTGTGTGGTGTACACCAGTCTGAACGGTCCCCTCTCCCATATTACAGAGTCTGTGCGGTGTACACCGGGTCCCCTCTCCCATATTACAGGTCTGTGTGGTGTACCCCGGGTCCCCTCTCCCATATTACAGGTCTTTTCCAGTGTGATCCAGGCCTGTACACCGGGTCCCCTCTCCCATATTACAGGTTCTGTGCGGTGTACCCCGGGGCCCCCTCTCCCCCAGTCATTACAGGTCTGTGTGGTGTACCCCGGGTCCCCATCTCCCATCATTACAGGTCTGTGTGGTGTACCCGGGTCCCCTCTCCCATATTACAGGTTCTGTGTGGTGTACACCGGAGCCTCTCCCCATAATATTTGTACAGGTGTATTTTAGTTTTAGCTGTCATTTATAGCATCACCCTACCAGACGCAGCAATTTTTCAGTTCTTCGGTGTTTTATAGCATCACCCTACCAGACAGCAATATTTCAGTCTTCGGTGGATTATAACGGCATCTGCTGGGATGGATTTCCTACAGTAAGATTATAGTTGTGTCCATCATCAGAGTCTCACTGCTCCTGCTGCATTTTCCACATAATGAAATATCCAGCAAGGGAAGTGGAGACCCCTGTAAAGGGTTTGTCAGATGATGAAGAAGGAGGGTATGGTGATACAAGTGATTCATTGGGGAGTGTGAGCCACACGACAATTCAGGTGAGGAAGGGTTCACATGACGCACAGGCCCGCTCCTCCTGGTAGGAGTGAAAGCTGCAATGTGGTTTTTGATCTTTTCTGGAGACACCAGTCTGAACGAGTCCCACAATTCATTTCAAACAGAGTATAAAGTCCAAGGAGAGGTAGTCACATCATGGTCCAAGGTGTCTTCCCACAATGCCATGACACCCATCTTCCCAGTCATACAAGGTTCTTCCAGTTTGATCCAGGCCTGAGCCACGACACCCATCTTCCCAGTCATACAAGGTTCTTCCAGTTTGATCCAGGCCTGAGCCACGACACCCATCTTCCCAGTCATACAAGGTTCTTCCAGTTTGATCCAGGCCTGAGCCACGACACCCATCTTCCCAGTCATACAAGGTTCTTCCAGTTTGATCCAGGCCTGAGCCACGACACCCATCTTCCCAGTCATACAAGGTTCTTCCAGTTTGATCCAGGCCTGAGCCACGACACCCATCTTCCCAGTCATACAAGGTTCTTCCAGTTTGATCCAGGCCTGAGCCACGACACCCATCTTCCCAGTCATACAAGGTTCTTCCAGTTTGATCCAGGCCTGAGCCACGACACCCATCTTCCCAGTCATACAAGGTTCTTCCAGTTTGATCCAGGCCTGAGCCACGACACCCATCTTCCCAGTCATACAAGGTTCTTCCAGTTTGATCCAGGTGTACTGTAGCAGCGTCAAGTCTTAAAGTGTCTTGGAGGGGAAGCATGGAGGTCAGTGTGGAGACTGGTCCCAGAGAAACTCTACCAAGGACATGGACTCTAGAAAACCTATTCCTAGACAAGGACAGGACAGTCAATGGAGTATGAGGAGTGTCAGCAGGGTGAGCTGGTCAGTGTTTGATCTCCAGGATGGAGGGGTTGTGGTCTAGGATAGCAAGAATAATCTTGTCCATGTATTGCCGCAAACGCAGGTTGATCTCCTCTTGTTCCTTCAAAGCTTCCATCAACTGAAAGGAAAATGAAAAAAAAAAATTGATTATTGAACCTGGCTGTTCCTTGTGGCCCAAACACCCAACATTTGCCTTCTCTATACCAGTGGGGAGCCCACAACTAAGGATTCTAGGGGGCAGCCCCCTATACCTAAAGATATGAGTGGATCCTCTAAATTTGGGTGGTGCTATCCCCTCCAGGCCAGGAAAAAAAACAGAATTCTGAACAGAACTACCTCTGTGAAGGGGTCATGTCATAGCATTCTGGGGAGAGGTCAACCCAGACAAGGATTTTGAAGAAGTCCTCTAGAGGGCAGCACCTCCACCTTACCTAGTATGTGGGAGGCCAAGAAAATTAAAGACTGAGCCTCATAGGAGACTTGGAGTACAGCAGTGATATCATTACCAATATTTATAGAGGCGAGGAAGAGCCAAATGTCTGTCTCCAGCCTCTACCGTCAGACGGCCATCTTACCTCGTCCTTCGAGGCGGTGTCAATCTCGGCTGCCAGTGCACTGACTGCGCCTTTGTCTGAGTGGAGAAGAGATTCTTGGCTTCATATAGGCTGAGACTGAGAATCTGCCCGCTCAGATCATCGTTCTGGTCCCGGAGCTTCTGGTTGTCCTGGGAGAGGAGCACAAGGTTACAAATTGGTTGGACAGAGACCCAACAATGGAGGGTCCGTATCACAGGAACTGCCACCCTGTATTGGCATAATGAGTGAGTACTGTGAGTCTCCAAACTGTTCACTACGAGGACCCCGCGCTGAAGTATCACAAATATCACTTCTAGAAATGAATGAAATTATACAAATGAAAGATTTCCTTCAAGCTTTTTTTTTTTTTTTTTTTTTGGAAAATCAGCAAAACAGGATTCAGAGCAACAGAGAAAGAACATAAGAAATGCCCATCACAGCCCCCCCTTACATCGGGGTCCCCCTAACCCTCCATTACATCAGGGTCCCCCATTTTCTTACATCAGGGTCCCCCTAATTACAGTCCCCCCCCATCACAATCCACCACAGTCCTCCCTTACATCAGAGTCTCCATCACAATCCCCCTGCTCACAGCAGGGTCCCCATCACAATCTCTCCCCTACATCAGGGGTCCCCATCACAGTCCCCCCCTACATCAGGGTCCCCATCACAGTCCCCCCCCATCACAGTACATCAGGGTCCCCATCACAGTCTGCCCCCTACATCACAGTGCCCCCACATCAGGGTCCCCATCACAGTCTGCCCCCTAGATCACAGTGCCCCCACATCAGGGTCCCCATCACAGTCCCCCCCTCACATCAGGGTCCCCATCACAGTCCCCCCCCCTACATCACAGTGCCCCCTACATCAGGGTCCCCATCACAGTCTCCTCCCTACATCAGGGTCCCCATCACAGTCTCCCCCCCCCCTACAACAGTGTGCCCCCTACATCAGGGTCCCCATCACAGTCTCCCCCCTACATCAGGGTCCCCATCACAGTCTCCCCCCTACATCAGGGTCCCCATCACAGTCTCCCCCCTACATCAGGGTCCCCCATCACAGTCTCCCCCCCTACATCAGGGTCCCCATCACAGTGCCCCCCCCCTACATCAGGGTCCCCATCACAGTCTGCCCCCTACATCAGGGTCCCCATCACAGTCCCCCCCCTCATCACCCCCCCTACATCACAGTGCCCCCACATCAGGGTCCCACACAGTCCCCCCTACATCAGGTCCCCATCACAGTCCCCACCCCCCCCCCTACATCAGGTCCAGTGCCCCCTACATCACAGTCCCCCCTACATCCTGGTCCCCTATCATAGACTCTCCCCTACATCAGGGTCCCCATACAGTCCCCCCCCCCCCCCACATCAGGGTCCCCATCACAGCCCCCCCCCCCTACATCAGGGTCCCATCACAGTATCCCCCCTACATCAGGGTCCCCATCACAGTCTCCCCATCCCAGTCCCATCCCCCCCCTACATCAGGGTCCCCATCACAGTCCCCCCCCTACAATCAGGGTCCCCATCACAGTGCCCCCTACATCAGGGTCCTCCCCCCCCCACATCACAGGGTCCCCATCACAGTCCCCCCTACATCAGGGTCCCCATCACAGTCCCCCCCCCTACATCACAGTGCCCCCTACACATCAGGGTCCCCATCATAGTCTCTCCCCTACTACAGGGTCAGGGTCCCCAATCCCCACACAGTCCCCCCCCACATCAGGGTCCCCATCACAGCCCCCCCCCCTACATCAGGGTCCCCATCACAGTATCCCCCCATCAGGTCCCCATCACAGTCTCACAGTCCCCCCCACATCAGTCCCTCCCCCCCTACATCAGGGTCCCCCATCACAGTCAGTCCCCCCTACATCAGGGTCCCCATCCCAGTGCCCCTACATCAGGGTCCCATCACAGTCCCCCCCCCCCCCATATCAGGGTCCCCCCATCACAGTCCTGTACCCCCCTACATCAGGGTCCCCATCACAGTCTCCCCCCCCCCTACATCAGGGTCCCCATCACAGTCTGCCCCCTACCATCAGGTCCCCATCACAGTCTGCCCCTACATCAGGGTCCCCATCACAGTCCCCCCCCCCATCCCCCCCTACATCAGGGTCCCCATCACAGTCTCCCCCCCCTACATCAGGGTCCCCATCACAGTCCCCCCCCCCCTACATCAGGGTCCCCATCACAGTCCCCCCCTACATCACAGGGTCCCCATCACAGTCCCCCCCTCACAGTCCCCCCCCCCTACATCAGGGCCCCCATACACAGTCCCCCATCATCAGTCTCCCCCCCTACATCAGGGTCCCCATTACAGTGCCCCCCCATCAGGGTCCCCATCACACATCAGGGTCCCCATCACAGTCTCCCCCCCTACATCAGGGTCCCCATCACAGTCTCCCCCTACATCAGGGTCCCTACATCACAGTGCCCCCTACATCAGGGTCCCCATCACAGTCTGCGCTACCCCCTACATCACAGTGCCCCCTACATCAGGGTCCATCACAGTCCCCCCCCCCCCAATCACAGTCATCAGGGTCCCCATCACAGTCCCCCCCCTACATCAGGGTCCCCATCACAGTCCCCCCCCCCCTACATCACAGTGCCCCCTACATCCTGGTCCCCATCAGAGTCCCCCACAGTCCCCCCCTCATCAGGGTCTCCATCACAGTCCCCCCCCCCCCTACAAATCAGGGTCCCCATCACAGTCCCCCCCCTACATCAGGGTCCCCATCACAGTCTCCCCCCTACATCAGGGTCCCCATCACAGTCTGCCCGTACATCACAGTGCCCCCTACATCAGGGTCCTCCATCACAGTCCCCCCCCCCCCCCCAGATCACAGTGCCCCCACATCAGGGTCCCCATCACAGTCCCCCCTACATCAGGGTCCCCATCACAGTCCCCCCCCCCTACATCACAGTGCCCCCTACATCAGGGTCCCCATCATAGTCTCTCCCCTACATCAGGGTCCCCATTACAGTCCCCCCCTACATCAGGGTCCCCATCACAGTCCCCCCCCCACATCCCCCCCATCACAGTCTCCCCCTACATCAGGGTCCCCATCACAGTCCCCCCCCCTACATCAGGGTCCCCATCACAGTCTCCCCCCTACATCAGGGTCCCCATCACAGTGCCCCCCTACATCAGGGTCCCCATCACCAGTCCCCCACAGTCTGCCCCCTACATCACAGTGCCCCCTACATCAGGGTCCTCATCACAGTTCCCCCCCACAGATCCCCCCCCACATCAGGGTCCCCATCACAGTCCCCCCCTACATCAGGGTCCCCATCACAGTCCCCCCCTACCCCCCATCACAGTGCCCCCTACATCCTGGTCCCCATCATAGTCCCCCCCTACATCAGGGTCCCCATCACAGTCCCCCCCCTACATCAGGGTCCCCATCACAGTCCCCCCTCCCCCCCTACATCAGGGTCCCCATCACAGTCCCCCCCCCCCCCCCCCTACATCAGGGTCCCCATCACAGTCCTCCCCCCTACATCAGGGTCCCCATCACAGTCTCCCCCCCACATCAGGGTCCCATCACAGTGCCCCCTACATCAGGGTCCCCATCACAGTCCCCCCCCTCATCACAGTGCCCCCTACATCCAGTGCCCCCTCCCCATCACAGTCTCCCCCCTACATCAGGGTCCCCATCACAGTCCCCCCCCCCCTACATCAGGGTCCCCATCACAGTCCCCCCCCCCCTACATCACAGGGTCCCCATCACAGTCCCCCCTACATCAGGGTCCCCATCACAGTCTGCCCCCTACATCATCACAGTGCCCCCCTACATCAGGGTCCTCATCACAGTTCCCCCCATCACAGTGCCCCCACATCAGGGTCATCCCCCATCACAGTCCCCCCCTACATCAGGGTCCCCATCAGTCCCCCCCCTCAGTCCCCCCCTACATCATCACAGTGCCCCCTACATCCTGGTCCCCATCACAGTCTCTCCCCTACATCAGGGTCCCCATTACAGTCCCCCCCCCTACATCAGGGTCCCCATCACAGTCCCCCCCCCCCCCCTACATCAGGGTCCCCATCACAGTCCCCCCCCCCCCTACATCAGGGTCCCCATCACAGTCCCCCCCCCCCCCCTACATCAGGGTCCCCATCACAGTCCTCCCCCCTACATCAGGGTCCTCATCACAGTCTCCCCCCTACATCCCCATCTGGTCCCCATCATAGTCTCTCCCCTACATCAGGGTCCCCATCACAGTCCCCCCCTACATCAGGGTCCCCATCACAGTCCCCCCTACATCAGGGTCCCCATCACAGTCCCCCCTACATCAGGGTCCCCATCACAGTCCCCCCCTACATCAGAGTGCCCCCTAGATCACAGTCCCCCCCCCCCCCTACATCAGGGTCCCCATCACAGTCCCCCCCCACATCACAGTTCCCCCCCCCCCCCCCCTACATCAGGGTCCCTATCACAGTCCCCCCCACATCAGGGTTCCCTTCAGGGTCCTCCCCCCCCCCTCACATCAGAGAACTGGATACAATGTTGCGGTAGGCCATAGTTGGGGCCCCCTGATCTAAATGATGAAAATGTAGAGTTTGGTGTAACTATGAAAGTGGCAGCCAATCAGATTCCAGCTGTCATTCCTCCCCTGTAGGTCAGACAGTGACAGGAAGGACAGATCATCATTTCCGTTTGATAAATCAGAGTTTGTGTCCCAGATTGTCATGTTACAGGGGTCTCTGGTCTCTATAGATGGCAGACAAGAATGAAGAGAGAGCGCCCCCCCAGAGGTGGGACAGTCCTTACCAGTTTGAGGCGTCTGATCTCCTGCTCGAGCTCGGATTCGCGGGTTTTGGCAGTATATTCGTACAGTCCCACCGATGAGCTCCGCCCCCGACCGTGCCGCTCGCAGTCTAAGCGGTAGATCTGTAGGTGCTCCAGCTCCTTCCGTAGATCTTCAATCAGCTGCAAATGTACAAAGTGATCAGATCTCATCACAGCGAATCATTGAGCAGCAATTGTGGGAGACAGTATGGGGACAGGCGGACCTCGTCATAGAACACACAGCAGCCCCTGTACTGGGAGAGTCTTCCTAGAATAGTGGGTGGAGTCAGGCTGTGACATCACATAATATGTGTTAAAATGACACACTGAATGCTGTCCGAAAAATAGGACCAGCGCCACCTAGAGGCTAATATATTATGAAGTATTCCAAATATACAGGCAGCGCCCAAAAGGTTCCGAATACGAAGAACACACCACACATTCTCACCTCTTGCGTAGCTTCACGTTCCCGCTGGAAGTTCTGCCGGTTTTGCCGCAATTTATCCATCATTTTCTTGTACAGATCCATCTCATCTTTCAGCCGCAGGCTGGTGTCCTCCAGCTTATCAGACATGCGCTGCCTCTCCTGAAGACCATAAAGAACAGCTTTAAGGGAAAGATGGAACACCTCGCACCTACCCTATGTGTATGTACAGGGAGAATCAAAGTCCCCCCACACCCAATACCTCCAGCAGACTCCTTCCCCCACAGAGCACCCTGTGAGCTCCCCTCCTCCAGTACTCCATGTAGGTTCCCCCCACAGAACACCCCATGGCTTCCTCGCACCCCTAGCGGAATCTCCTCACCTCATCTATCCTCTCTGTATGAGACTTCAGTCTGGTGATGGCAGTTAGTAACTCTTCATTCTCCTCCTCCAGCTCCTGAATCCTGAAACAAAGACAGAAGGTTGTCTCATCATGGTATATAGACAGGTCCTCTTCAAGGACCTGACACAGGAAGCCCTGACAATGGAATAAAGCGTGGTAGGAATTGCTGTCTATTAGGGGTCTGTGTGGAGTGGAGTATGGTTGAACCATTACATCATCTTCATTCAACTTCACTACCTAACCATTAGGTAGCTTACATTATTCTTCCATGCTGGAGCAGCGGACAGGAGGATTCTGGGAATTCACTGAATTCAGGGTGTGCACTGGGGTTACCATCAGCCTTATCAGTTACTTTTTGGATACACAATTTTGACTTGGCCTTTACTAGGAGAATGCTTAATGGTGGAGGAGATCTTACCTGGCATTCAGCAGCTCTAGCTCTGTTCCCTTCTCCTTCTCCAGCCTGGAGTACGTTTCCCTGTGCCGCTTCAGCTCCTCATCCAGAATCTGCTCCGACCTGGTCTCCTGGTCCTTCAGCAACTCTTCCAATTCATGAACCCTGCAGACCACAATCCGTATTCCATCACAATCAAATCTGTCCGCCACCAGTCACCCATTTCTCATCTGTCTATCTGTCCCCCTTCTCATCTCCCCATCTGTCCGCCGCCTGTCCCCTGTGTCCCATCTGTCCCCCGTCTCATCTTCCCATCTGTCCGCCGCCTGTCCCCTGTGTCCCATCTTCCCGTGTGTCCCCCGTGTCTCGTCTGCCCGTCTGGCCACCGCCTGTCCCCCGTGTCTCGTCTGCCCGCTGCCTGTCCCCCGTGTCTCGTCTGCCCGCCGCCTGTCCCCCGTGTCTCGTCTGCCCGCTGCCTGTCCCCCGTGTCTCGCCCGCCGCCTGTCCCCCGTGTCTCGTCTGCCCGCCGCCTGTCCCCCGTGTCTCGTCTGCCCGCCGCCTGTCCCCCGTGTCTCGTCTGCCTGCCGCCTGTCCCCCGTGTCTCGTCTGCCTGCCGCCTGCCCGCCGCCTGTCCCCCTGTCCCCCGTGTCTCGTCTGCCCGCTGCTTGTCCCCCGTGTCTCGTCTGCCCACCGCCTGTCCCCTGTCCTCCGTGTCTCGTCTGCCAGTCAGCGCCTGTCCCCTGTCCGCCTGTCCCCCCGCCTGTGTGTCTCGTCTGCCAGTCTGTCCGCCGCCTGTCCCCCGTGTCTCGTCTGCCCACCGCCTGTCCCCGTGTCTTGTCTGCCCACCGCCTGTCCCCCATGTCTCGTCTGTCACGTCTACCCACCTGTCCTGTCCCCCATGTCTCGTCTTCCCCTCGCCTGTCCCCCGTGTCTCATCTTCCCCTCTGTCTACCGCCTGTCCCCCGTGTCTCGTCTGTCCGCCCCCTGTCCCCCGTGTCTCATCTTCCCATCTGTCCGCCGCTTGTCCCCCGTGTTTTGTCTGCCTATCTGTCCACCTCCTGTCCCATGTGTATCATCTGCCATCACCTGTCCCCTGTGTCTTGGCTGCTCATCTCGTCTGCCATTTTTTGTTCCTTTTGTCTTTCCTACTTGTCTGCCACCTGTGCCCCTTCTGCCCACTACCAGTCCCCCTTCTGCCCACTACCAGTCCCCCTTCTGCCCACTACCTGTCCCCCTTCTGCCCACTACCTGTCCCTGTTCTCCGTCTGCCCACTACCTGTCCCCTGTTCTCCGTCTGCCCACTACCTGTCCCCTGTTCTCCCTTCTGCCCACTACCTGTCCCCCACTGTTCTCCTTTCTGCCCACTACCTGTCCCCTGTTCTCCGTCTGCCCACTACCTGTCCCCTGTTCTCCTTCTGCCCACTACCTGTCCCCTGTGCCCCTTCTGCCCACTACCTGTCCCCTGTGCCCCTTCTGCCCACTACCTGTCCCCTGTTCTCCTTCTGCCCACTACCTGTCCCTGTGTGCCCCTTCTGCCCACTACCTGTCCCCTGTGCCCCTTCTGCCCACTACCTGTCCCCTGTGCCCCTTCTGCCCACTACCTGTCCCCCTGTCCTGTCCTTGTAGTCTCTTCTTTGTCTCCTGTGCCCGTCTGTCCCCTTTGTCTCTTCACCTTATTATATCACAGCAGTCTATCACGGGTCTCTCTCCTCCTCTGTCCTGTCTTCTCTGTGTCTTACCTATGCACCAGCTGGGTGTTCTCATGTTTTAATTTGCTCTTGACGTCTCCATTTGTCTGGTTGTCATTCTCTAGCTCTGTCACCTTCTTCTCCAGGTAACTGACCTGTGATAAATGACAGACAGATATAGACACAGTCATTGTTACTTTTCTATTATCCCTGCATTCTGCAGTTCAATCAAGCAGCCAGCAGGGGGCAGCGTTGTATGGCAGGAATTTCTAACCATAAGGTGATCATAAACTACAGAAGTGTCACTACTGCTTTCACCTCTAGGGGACGCCACACCCCTCCATACCCAGCTTTATCATAGGGTTAGGGGGGACGCCACACCCCTCCATACCCAGCTTTATCATAGGGTTAGGGGGGACGCCACACCCCTCCATACCCAGCTTTATGATAGGGTTAGGGGGGACGCCACACCCCTCCATACCCAGCTTTATCATAGGGTTAGGGGGGACGCCACACCCCTCCATACCCAGCTTTATGATAGGGTTAGGGGGGACGCCACACCCCTCCATACCCAGCTTTATGATAGGGTTAGGGGGGACGCCACACCCCTCCATACCCAGCTTTATCATAGGGTTAGGGGGGACGCCACACTCCTCCATACCCAGCTTTATGATAGGGTTAGGGGGGACGCCACACCCTCCACTATACCCAGCTTTATGATAGGGTTAGGGGGGACGCCACACTCCTCCACTATACCCAGCTTTATGATAGAGTTAGGGGGGACGCCACACTCCACTATACCCAGCTTTATCATAGGGTTAGGGGGGACGCCACACTCCACTATACCCAGCTTTATGATAGGGTTAGGGGGGACGCCACACTCCTCCATACCCAGCTTTATGATAGGGTTAGGGGGGACGCCACACTCCTCCATACCCAGCTTTATGATAGGGTTAGGGGGGACGCCACACCCCTCCATATACCCAGCTTTATGATAGGTTAGGGGGGACGCCACACCCCCACTATACCCAGCTTTATGATAGGGTTAGGGGGGACGCCACACCCCTCCATACCCAGCTTTATCATAGGGTTAGGGGGGACGCCACACCCCTCCATACCCAGCTTTATCATAGGGTTAGGGGGGACGCCACACTCCTCCATACCCAGCTTTATGATAGGGTTAGGGGGGACGCCACACCCCTCCATACCCAGCTTTATGATAGGGTTAGGGGGGACGCCCACACTCCTCCACTATACCCAGCTTTATGATAGGGTTAGGGGGGACGCCACACCCCTCCATACCCAGCTTTATGATAGGGTTAGGGGGGACGCCACACTCCTCCATACCCAGCTTTATGATAGGGTTAGGGGGGACGCCACACCCCTCCATACCCAGCTTTATGATAGGGTTAGGGGGGACGCCACACACCCCTCCATACCCAGCTTTATGATAGGGTTAGGGGGGACGCCACACCCCTCCATACCCAGCTTTATCATAGGGTTAGGGGGGACGCCACACTCCTCCATACCCAGCTTTATGATAGGGTTAGGGGGGACGCCACACTCCTCCACAATATACCCAGCTTTATGATAGGGTTAGGGGGGACGCCACACTCCTCTCCTATACCCAGCTTTATGATAGGGTTAGGGGGGACGCCACACTCCACTATATACCCAGCTTTATCATAGGGTTAGGGGGGACGCCACACTCCACTCCATACCCAGCTTTATCATAGGGTTAGGGGGGACGCCACACTCCTCCATACCCAGCTTTATGATAGGGTTAGGGGGGACGCCACACTCCCTCCATACCCAGCTTTATGATAGGGTTAGGGGGGACGCCACACTCCTCCTATACCCAGCTTTATGATAGGGTTAGGGGGGACGCCACACTCCACCACTATACCCAGCTTTATGATAGGGTTAGGGGGGACGCCACACCCCTCCATACCCAGCTTTATCATAGGGTTAGGGGGGACGCCACACCCCTCCATACCCAGCTTTATCATAGGGTTAGGGGGGACGCCACACCCCTCCATACCCAGCTTTATCATAGGGTTAGGGGGGACGCCACACCCCTCCATACCCAGCTTTATGATAGGGTTAGGGGGGACGCCACACTCCTCCATATACCCAGCTTTATGATAGGGTTAGGGGGGACGCCACACTCCCTCCATACCCAGCTTTATGATAGGGTTAGGGGGGACGCCACACTCCTCCATACCCAGCTTTATGATAGGGTTAGGGGGGACGCCACACCCCTCCATACCCAGCTTTATGATAGGGTTAGGGGGGACGCCACACCCTCCATACCCAGCTTTATGATAGGGTTAGGGGGGACGCCACACCCCTCCATACCCAGCTTTATGATAGGGTTAGGGGGGACGCCACACCCCTCCATACCCAGCTTTATGATAGGGTTAGGGGGGACGCCACACTCCACCCATACCCAGCTTTATGATAGGGTTAGGGGGGACGCCACACCCCTCCATACCCAGCTTTATGATAGGGTTAGGGGGGACGCCACACCCCCCATACCCAGCTTTATGATAGGGTTAGGGGGGACGCCACACTCCTCCATACCCAGCTTTATGATAGGGTTAGGGGGGACGCCACACTCCTCCACTATACCCAGCTTTATGATAGGGTTAGGGGGGACGCCACACTCCCTCCTATACCCAGCTTTATGATAGGGTTAGGGGGGACGCCACACCCCTCCATACCCAGCTTTATCATAGGGTTAGGGGGGACGCCACACCCCTCCATACCCAGCTTTATCATAGGGTTAGGGGGGACGCCACACCCCTCCATACCCAGCTTTATCATAGGGTTAGGGGGGACGCCACACTCCACTCCATACCCAGCTTTATGATAGGGTTAGGGGGGACGCCACACTCCTCCACTATACCCAGCTTTATGATAGGGTTAGGGGGGACGCCACACTCCACTATACCCAGCTTTATGATAGGGTTAGGGGGGACGCCACACTCCTCCATACCCAGCTTTATGATAGGGTTAGGGGGGACGCCACACCCCTCCATACCCAGCTTTATCATAGGGTTAGGGGGGACGCCACACACTCCTCCACTATACCCAGCTTTATGATAGGGTTAGGGGGGACGCCACACAACACCCTCCATACCCAGCTTTATGATAGGGTTAGGGGGGACGCCACACACCCTCCATACCCAGCTTTATGATAGGGTTAGGGGGGACGCCACACTCCCTCCACTATACCCAGCTTTATGATAGGGTTAGGGGGGACGCCACACACCCTCCCATACCCAGCTTTATCATAGGGTTAGGGGGGACGCCACACCCCTCCATACCCAGCTTTATCATAGGGTTAGGGGGGACGCCACACTCCACTATACCCAGCTTTATCATAGGGTTAGGGGGGGACGCCACACTCCTCCATATACCCAGCTTTATGATAGGGTTAGGGGGGACGCCACACTCCTCCACTATACCCAGCTTTATGATAGGGTTAGGGGGGACGCCACACTCCACTATACCCAGCTTTATGATAGGGTTAGGGGGGACGCCACACTCCACTATACCCAGCTTTATGATAGGGTTAGGGGGGACGCCACACTCCTCCATACCCAGCTTTATGATAGGGTTTAGGGGGGACGCCACACCCCTCCATACCCAGCTTTATGATAGGGTTAGGGGGGACGCACGCCACACTCCTCCATACCCAGCTTTATGATAGGGTTAGGGGGGACGCCACATCCCCTCCATACCCAGCTTTATGATAGGGTTAGGGGGGACGCAACACCACCCCTCCATACCCAGCTTTATGAGGGTTAGGGGGGAACGCCACACCCCCTCCATACCCAGCTTTATGATAGGGTTAGGGGGACGCCACACCCCTCCATACCCAGCTTTATGATAGGGTTAGGGGGGACGCCACACCCCAGGTCCATACCCAGCTTTATGATAGGGTTAGGGGGGACGCCACACTCCACTATACCCAGCTTTATGATAGGGTTAGGGGGGACGCCACACTCCACTATACCCAGCTTTATGATAGGGTTAGGGGGGACGCCACACTCCTCCATACCCAGCTTTATGATAGGGTTAGGGGGGGACGGGTCCACACCCTCCACTATACCCAGCTTTATGATAGGGTTAGGGGGGACGCCACACTCCACTATACCCAGCTTTAGGATAGCGTTAGGGGGGACGCCACACCCCTCCATACCCAGCTTTATGATAGGGTTAGGGGGGACGCTACACTCCACTATACCCAGCTTTAGGATAGGGTTAGGGGGGACGCCCCACATGGGGATATTGCTCTGGAACACAACTGTACACGCTTCTATCCTAATAGAGCACTGGGATTCAATGGGGATCACACATGGGCACCGGGGAGATAGATGCAGCGGCTCCCAGGTTGGTGACTTTTCACCATGGTGAATGTTAGGAGCGCACTCCCCATTCATTTCTTCAAGACAGGCTAAAATATTTCATCAGGAAATGCGCTGCGAGAACCCGAATGCTGCTTTCTGGAGGAATTAAAAAGTTTGACCGCATTCTGGAGATTTGACTTAAGGTGGTTTATGGAAATCCAGGACAGGAGACAAAGTGTGTCGGGAACCCTGCAATTAATCCAGCGCGTCCTTAGCGGATGGTAAACAAGAGTACAAATCAGCTGAGGCCACAAGCTGGGCTTCTGACCACATTATACAGAAAGGTGGAAGAGGAGGGGTCACAACACCAGGGTGGAGGGATCCTGTATAATGGTGGAAGAGGTGTCACAACGCCAGGGTGGAGGGATCCTGTATAATGGTGGAAGAGGAGGGGGGTCACAACACCAGGATGAAGGGATCCTGTATAATGGTGGAAGAGGAGGGGTCACAACACCAGGGTGGAGGGATCCTGTATAATGGTGGAAGAGGAGGGGTCACACCAGGGTGGAGGGATCCTGTATAATGGTGGAAGAGGAGGGGTCACAACACCAGGAAGAAGGGATCCTGTATAATGGTGGAAGAGGAGGGGTCACAACGCCAGGGTGGAGGGATCCTGTATAATGGTGGAAGAGGCGTCACAACACCAGGGTGGAGGGATCCTGTATAACGGGGGGGGGGGGGGGGTGGAGGGATCCTGGGGGGAATAAAAGGTGTCACAATGCCCAAATAATGTATCCTGTAGGGTAGCTGGAGAGGCTGATGTCACACAGCAACAACAAAGATATGGTATACTGCAGTGTGAGAAGCACTTGGCTGCCATATTTAGTGATGGACGGAACACGATGTGGGGGGAATATGGAAACTCAGAGGCCAATCAGAAATCTTTGTTAGAAACTGAAGGGATTATTGCTAATCATTCACCATTGCTGAAGATAATAAATAATGTCAACATTTTCATCACGATGAAAGGACAAAGAATCTAAAGAAAACCCCCAGACTTGCAGCATATGAGAAGCAGCGGCGCTCACCTTCTCGGTGATGTCATTGTCACAGGAGTCAATGCTGTCACGGAAGAGGTCCTCTGTGCTGCCATTGCTGCTACTCAGGTTACTGTTGTGGAAGAGCTGCCTGGAAAAGAAGAGTCGCATGACTGTCACCAAACCCAGCTTCTCTCCATAGGTCTACACCGGTCTAAGCCAGTACCCAAAATCTTCTATAGAACCCCATTATTAAATATATACAGTAGGTGGGACTTACCTCCCAAAGGCTGTGCTGGTGATCTTTCTGTTTGGGCTGCAGGTGTGAAATAAACAATAAAGACACATTAATATATACAGAATGAACACTAACTGAACTCAAATCACCACGTCCACCCGGGCCTGACCCCTGTACGCGCCGTCCACCCGAGCCAGACCCCTGTACGCGCCGTCCACCCGGGCCAGACCCCTGTACGCGCCGTCCACCCGGGCCTGACCCTGTACGCGCCGTCCACCCGGGCCTGACCCCTGTACGCGCCGTCCACCCGGGCCTGACCCCTGTACGCGCCGTCCACCCGGGCCTGACCCCTGTACGCGCCGTCCACCCGGGCCAGACCCCTGTACGCGCCGTCCACCCGGGCCAGACCCCTGTACGCGCCGTCCACCCGGGCCTGACCCCTGTACGCGCCGTCCACCCGGGCCAGACCCCTGTACGCGCCGTCCACCCGGGCCAGACCCCTGTACGCGCCGTCCACCCGGGCCTGACCCCTGTACGCGCCGTCCACCCGGGCCTGACCCCTGTACGCGCCGTCCACCCGAGCCCAGACCCCTGTACGCGCCGTCCACCCGGGCCAGACCCCTGTACGCGCCGTCCACCCGAGCCAGACCCCTGTACGCGCCGTCCACCCGAGCCTGACCCCTGTACGCGCCGTCCACCCGGCCCTGACCCCTGTACGCGCCGTCCACCCGGCCCTGACCCCTGTACGCGCCGTCCACCCGGGCCTGACCCCTGTACGCGCCGTCCACCCGAGACAGACCCCTGTACGCGCCGTCCACCCGAGCCTGACCCCTGTACGCGCCGTCCACCCGGGCCTGACCCCTGTACGCGCCGTCCACCCGAGACAGACCCCTGTACGCGCCGTCCACCCGGGCCTGACCCCTGTACGCGCCGTCCACCCGAGACAGACCCCTGTACGCGCCGTCCACACCCGAGCCTGACCCCTGTACGCGCCGTCCACCCGGGCCAGACCCCTGTACGCGCCGTCCACCCGAGCCTGACCCCTGTACGCGCCGTCCACCCGAGCCTGACCCCTGTACGCGCCGTCCACCCCGAGACAGACCCCTGGACGCGCCATCCACCCGGGCCAGGAGGTTTATCTCACACATCCTTCTATTAATCTATTAAGCACTGGAGCCCATCCCTCCCATCTATGGGGTACAAGGAAGATTTAGGGTCCAGAAAACAGGACATGTGAGGCAGAGATCAGGCTGGTGGGAAGAATCACCTGTTGGCTTTGAGGTTCTTTAGCCGGGCCTCCAGGTCGTTCAGCAGGGTGATCTTCTTGCAGCACTGTGTGCAGTACATGTCCAGTAACTCGCTGTTGTACATGTGCCTCATTTTACGAGGTGTCTGTCCGGCACTGAGAGGGAAAAATCAGCATCAATATACAGGAAATCTATTGCATCACAGACAGGCATTGGGTGCAAATTGTTATAAATAGATTAGATGGGTGTCAAACATACACCCTGCTGTTACCCTTCTCCAAACATACACCCTGCTGTTACCCTTCTCCAAACATACACCCTGCTGTTACCCTTCTCTAAACATACACCCTGTTGTTACCCTTCTCTAAACATACACCCTGGTGTTACCCTTCTCCAAACATACACCCTGTTGTTACCCTTCTCTAAACATACATCCTGCTGTTACCCTTCTCTAAACATACACCCTGCTGTTACCCTTCTTTAAACATACACCCTGCTGTTACCCTTCTCCAAACATACACCCTGCTGTTACCCTTCTCCAAACATACACCCTGCTGTTACCCTTCTCCAAACATACACCCTGCTGTTACCCTTCTCCAAACATACATCCTGCTGTTACCCTTCTCCAAACATACACCCTGCTGTTACCCTTCTCTAAACATACACCCTGCTGTTACCCTTCTCCAAACATACACCCTGCTGTTACCCTTCTCTAAACATACACCCTGCTGTTACCCTTCTTTAAACATACACCCTGCTGTTACCCTTCTCCAAACATACACCCTGGTGTTACCCTTCTCCAAACATACACCCTGCTGTTACCCTTCTCCAAACATACACCCTGCTGTTACCCTTCTCCAAACATACATCCTGCTGTTACCCTTCTCCAAACATACACCCTGCTGTTACCCTTCTCCAAACATACACCCTGCTGTTACCCTTCTCCAAACATACATCCTGCTGTTACCCTTCTCCAAACATACACCCTGGTGTTACCCTTCTCCAAACATACACCCTGGTGTTACCCTTCTCCAAACATACACCCTGGTGTTACCCTTCTCTAAACATACACCCTGCTGTTACCCTTCTCCAAACATACATCCTGCTGTTACCCTTCTCTAAACATACACCCTGGTGTTACCCTTCTCCAAACATACACCCTGGTGTTACCCTTCTCCAAACATACACCCTGCTGTTACCCTTCTCCAAACATACACACTGCTGTTACCCTTCTCTTTACTAAAGTGGCAGATAGGAAAAGAGACAATTGCACTTCTTTGTGATGCTGATGGTCAGGGACTCCCAGATGAGCTGTGTACAGTTCCTGTGTAATGCAAATCCAGGTAAACACTGACTATGGTGCTAGATGGAGCTGCCACTATACACTGAATAGGGTTCTAGACAGAACTGCCACTATACACTGAATAGGGTTCTAGACAGAACTGCCACTATACACTGAATAGGGTTCTAGACAGAGCTGCCACTATACACTGAATAGGGTTCTAGACAGAGCTACCACTATACACTGAATAGGGTTCTAGACACAACTGCCACTATACACTGAATAGGGTTCTAGACACAACTGCCACTATACACTGAATAGGGTTCTAGACAGAACTGCCACTATACACGGAATACGGTGCTAGACAGAGCTGCCACTATACACTGAATAGGGTGCTAGACAGAGCTGCCACTATACACTGAATACGGTGCTAGACAGAACTGCCACTATACACTGAATACGGTGCTAGACGGAGCTGCCACTATACACTGAATACGGTGCTAGACAGAGCTGCCACTATACACTGAATACGGTGCTAGACGGAGCTGCCACTATACACTGAATACGGTGCTAGACAGAGCTGCCACTATACACTGAATACGGTGCTAGATGGAGCTACCACTATACACTGAATAGGGTTCTAGACACAACTGCCACTATACACTGAATAGGGTTCTAGACAGAACTGCCACTATACACGGAATACGGTGCTAGACAGAGCTGCCACTATACACTGAATAGGGTTCTAGACAGAACTGCCACTATACACGGAATACGGTGCTAGACAGAGCTGCCACTATACACTGAATAGGGTTCTAGACAGAGCTGCCACTATACACTGAATAGGGTTCTAGACGGAGCTACCACTATACACCGAATAGGGTTCTAGACAGAACTGCCACTATACACCGAATAGGGTTCTAGACAGAACTGCCACTATACACTGAATAGGGTTCTAGACAGAACTGCCACTATACACACTGAATACGGTGCTAGACAGAGCTGCCACTATACACTGAATAGGGTGCTAGACAGAGCTGCCACTATACACTGAATACGGTGCTAGACAGAACTGCCACTATACACTGATTACGGTGCTAGACAGAACTGCCACTATACACCGAATAGGGTTCTGGACAGAACTGCCATTATACACTGAATATGGTGCTAGACAGAGCTGCCACTATACACTGAATATGGTGCTAGACAGAGCTGCCACTATACACTGAATACGGTGCTAGACGGAGCTACCACTATACACCGAATAGGGTTCTAGACAGAGCTACCACTATACACCGAATAGGGTTCTAGACAGAACTGCCACTATACACTGAATACGGTGCTAGACAGAGCTGCCACTATACACTGAATATGGTTCTAGACAGAACTGCCACTATACACTGAATACGGAGCTAGACGGAGCTACCACTATACACCGAATAGGGTTCTAGACAGAACTGCCACTATACACTGAATACGGAGCTAGACGGAGCTGCCACCATACAAGGACTATGGTGCTAGACGGAGCTGCCACCATACAAAGGACTACGGTGCTAGATGGAGCTTCCACTATACACAAACTATGGTTCTAGACGGAGCTGCCACTATACACAAACCACTTCTAGATGGAGCTGCTACCATACATAAACAGACGTGATTCATCCCGCCCGCCCTATAGGGCATTCTATAGAAGCCATGCCATATTCTCCATTATCCTACTTATATTTTTTGAGGAAAGAGAAAATGGTCACTATGTGCTTATTGTCCCATTTTGGTTTCTCCGTAAAAACACTGGACAGCAGAAGGGTGATAACACAGGGAGACACACTTATTTTTATAGAAGTTGTGGGGGAAAAAAAAAAAGATATTGTGGGCAGGACCTTGTCCCATTCCTGGTCCCGGTTCTAGAATATGCACAGGAAATGTATTAGAGAAGTTTATGAAGTCTGAGGGCAGGCAACCTTGCTGCGGTGGAGGATCAATCAGATGAGTTCCCTCATGATAGGCAGTGTCTTCAAGTGTCTCTCTCCATTGACACAAATTTGTCTCCACACAGATGGTGGGATCATTCCTGTCCAGTCAACTCCCCACTGAGGACTGTGGGCACCATAAGGTTGGCCATATGCAGGGACAAAGGCATGGCGATATCTGCTGCAGAGATCAGAGGCTGGAGGCTATATGGAGAATGTTTACCATTGTAAATAAAAAAGGTCCAGTCTATGTGTGTAAACAAAGCAGCAAGGTGTCACTAGCTCTCCCAGACCTGAGGAAGAGCAGCCTGGAGCCCAGAACAGTTGTTGGTGTGACCATAGTCCTTAGAGTGGTTACAGAGATTTTAGCCTTGTATTTGTCATCCACCAAGAGGCCAACAAGTTATTTTTATGCTCACCTGGAGGGGACGGAGGAGCCTAGGTCAGATAAGGCATTGGTTCGACTTTCATCATCAGGACATGGACTGCTGGGGGCATAATCCACATCATCTCCTTCTCCATAGTCCTCAAACTGTTCCTCGGCACTGATCACAGAGGCCGTAGAATGGCTGGAGAACTCTGACAAGGCTGAAGGGTTGAGGAGGTTCCTGAGAGAGATGGAAAATTGGGACAGTCAGACAACAAGAACCCAAGCACACAATGGAGTGAGAAGCCGAAATTGCAGCTCCTGTTCCCAGCACCTAGGATATCTAGTCTAGAACTAGGATCACGGTTTGCCTCACAGATCTCCTCGTATAGGCTACTTACCGCTCTTCAGGGAGGTAGAGCCCATGAACATCCTCTGCCTTCCCATCACTGCGGTATTCATCAGAAACCTCCGAGCTTGGCGTGCTCTCGATGGCACTGTCCAAGTCCGATTCATGGTGGACATCTTGATGGCCCAGTGTTAAACTCTCTTCATCTGGGAAGAGCTCAGAGTCGCTGAAGGTCGCCTCCGACTCGACATACATCCCATGAGTGATGGGGCTGTTCTGCTAGAAGAGATCAAGGTATTAGCACACAGATTTACAACCATCACCATAAACAAGTCGGTGTGATCACAGGTCGGCCATAAAAGGTTTATAGGAGCCAGCCGGTACACACCTAACTGGAGCCCTACAGATACAGCTCAACACCACGGATGACATCATCAGACAAGAATGACACACCATGGACGACATCATCAGACAAGAATGACACACCATGGACGACATCATCAGACAAGAATGACACACCATGGACGACATCATCAGACAAGAATGACAGCACATTGCCATATGACCTCTATCCCCAATTATCGATCCCTCCCAGTCTATAAAATCTCATTGGATGACATCAGGAAAGAATGACAGCATGTCACATGTGACCTCTATCCCCAATCATCGATCGTTCCCAGTCTATTCAATCTCATTGGATGACGTCAGACAAGAATGACAGCATGTCACATGTGACCTCTATCCCCAATCATCGATCGTTCCCAGTCTATTCAATCTCATTGGATGACGTCAGACAAGACAAAATGACAGCATGTCACATGTGACCTCTATCCCCAATCATTGATCGTTCCCAGTCTATTCAATCTCATTGGATGACGTCAGACAAGAATGACAGCATGTCACATGTGACCTCTATCCCCAATCATCGATCGTTCCCAGTCTATTCAATCTCATTGGATGACGTCAGACAAGAATGACAGCCTGTCACATGTGACCTCTATCCCCAATCATCGATCGTTCCTAATCTATACACCCTCATTCGATTATGTCATTTTATATCCGACTGTAAAACATTGTAAACCTCAAATACGATGATTTACAAAATATAATAAATGGGAAGGTGGCCAAGATTGGGCTGATATCTGATCATGGTGCCCGATGGAGGCCAGCTATCTGTACAGAGGGAGTGTGGTCTACAAGATTGCTGCTCCCAGGACGCCAGACATAACAGAGCAGAAAGATTTATTGGACATTTATTTCTCCATAAAATAGATTTCCTCACCTATTGGAATCAAGAAACTTTCATTCCCCATTAGAAGGAAGACACGAGCAGCCACCCTCTATAAAGGAAGTTGGGAAGCTCTGGGATCAAATATGTGAGCTGGAAACTCCCAGCCACAGACATTGCTGCCTGCAACTTCCCCCTCCCACTTACACCACCTATACAGGTCACACACACAGCTCCCTGTACAGCTACAGAGCTTCTCTATGAATAACCAGGAGCACACAGCCCTCATTATACAGCAGATGATGTGTCACCAGACTGCTATGATTTAGGTGACATCAACATGAGAATGGGAGAGGAGTCACCAATCAGTGCCATCAAATATGTATGATGTCATCTCTATACATCTGTATACAGAGTGACATCAGAGGGCGCTGTCCTCCTCCAGCCTCTCTACATTCATACAATATTTAGGGCACTGCAGGACATACGCTCTATATTTAGATGCTTGTTAGCTCAGTGCACCAAACCGTGACCGCAATTCCTATTAACTGCTCTGTAACCAACTCACTGCCTGTCCAGTCATAGCTCACTCATTGGCTCTCTTATCAACCATCATGTGCTACTGAAACTTATCAATCATCCAATCAACACTCCCTGACCAGAAACCTCTCCAATCAACACACACATGACCAAGCATCCAATCATCCATCACCGACCACTGTAACCTCTCTTACCGAGTCTCCAATCATCCATCACCGACCACTAGAACCTCTCTTACCGAGTCTCCAATCATCCATCACCGACCACTAGAACCTCTCTTACCGAGTCTCCAATCATCCATCACCAACCACTAGAACCTCTCTCACCGAGTCTCCAATCATCCGTCACCAACCACTAGTCTCCAATCATCCGTCACCGAGTCTCCAATCATCCGTCACCGACCACCACCACTAGAACCTCTCTCACCGAGTCTCCAATCATCAATCACCAACCACTAGAACCTCTCTTATCGAGTCTCCAATCATCCGTCACCGACCACTAGAACCTCTCTCACACCAAGAACCTCTCTCACAGAGTCTCCAATCATCTCATCATCCATCACCAACCACTAGAACCTCTCTCACACCAAGTCTCTCAATCATCCACAGAGTCACATCAACCAACCACTAGAACCTCTCTCACAGAGTCTCCAATCATCCGTCACCGACCACTAGAACCTCTCTCACAGAGTCTCCAATCATCCATCACCAATCTCTCATCTCCAATCACCAACCACTAGAACCTCTCTCACAGAGTCTCCAATCATCCATCACCAACCACTAGAACCTCTCTTACCTCTCTCACCAGAGTCTCTCACCGAGTCTCCAATCATCCATCACCAACCACTAGAACCTCTCTCACCGAGTCTCCAATCATCCGTCACCAACCACTAGAACCTCTCTTACGAGTCTCCAATCATCCGTCACCGAACCACTAGAACCTCTCTTACCGAGTCTCCAATCATCCATCACCAACCACTAGAACCTCTCTCACCGAGTCTCCAATCATCCCACCGACCACTAGAACCTCTCTCACATCTCCAATCATCCATCACCAACCACTAGAACCTCTCTTACCGAGTCTCCAATCATCCATCACCGACCACTAGAACCTCTCTCACAATCTCCAATCATCCATCACCAACCACTAGAACCTCTCTCACCGAGTCTCCAATCATCCATCACCAACCACTAGAACCTCTCTTACCGAGTCTCCAATCATCCGTCACCGAGAACCTCTCTACCGAACCACTAGAACCTCTCTCACAGAGTCTCCAATCATCCATCACCAACCACTAGAACCTCTCTTACCGAGTCTCCAATCATCCATTACCAACCTAGAGTCTCCCAATCATCCGTCACCGACCACTAGAACCTCTCTTACCGAGTCTCCAATCATCCGTCACCAACCACTAGAACCTCTCTCACCGAGTCTCCAATCATCCGAACCTCAATCATCCGACCACCACTAGAACCTCTCTCACAGAGTCTCCAATCATCCATCACCAACCACTAGAACCTCTCTTACCCAGTCTCCAATCATCCATCACCGACCACTAGAACCTCTCTTACCGAGTCTCCAATCATCCGTCACCGAGTAGAACCTCTCTCAATCTCCAATCATCATCACCGACCACTAGAACCTCTCTCACCGAGTCTCCAATCATCCGTCACCGACCACTAGAACCTCTCTCACCGAGTCTCCAATCATCCGTCCTCTCTTACCGAGTCTCCAATCATCCATCACCGACCACTAGAACCTCTCTTACCGAGTCTCCAATCATCCGTCACCGACCACTAGAACCTCTCTCACCGAGTCTCCAATCATCCGTCGTCCGTCACTGACCACTAGAACCTCTCTCACCGAGTCTCCAATCATCCCTCACCGTCCACTGTGACCTCTCTCACCGAGTCTCCAATCATCCCTCACCGTCCACTGTGACCTCTCTCACCGAGTCTCCAATCATCCCTCACCGTCCACTGTGACCTCTCTCACCGAGTCTCCAATCATCCCTCACCGTCCACTGTGACCTCTCTCACCGAGTCTCCAATCATCCCTCACCGTCCACTGTGACCTCTCTCACCGAGTCTCCAATCATCCATCACCGTCCACTGTGACCTCTCTCACCGAGTCTCCAATCATCCCTCACCGTCCACTGTGACCTCTCTCACCGAGTCTCCAATCATCCATCACCGACCACTGTGACCTTACAGAACCCATACAACCTGATAGAAGAGAGAGGTCTGGGGGGAGATGAACGTGGGACTGCAGTGCTGCCAGGTGGCCATACCAATCACCAGCTGCTACTACAAACCCCACTGTGTGTGTGACCTCAGGGAGGAGAGGATCATGGAAACAACAAAAGGGAACACAAATAGCACAAAAGAAATGTAAACAGTTTATTTATAGAAACCATTCTAGAGAAATGACACCCTGAGGACTATTATAGACCTATCACCTGACAACACCATACCCCATAGAGACCTGACCCCGCCCACCAATCTATTATAGAGAGAAGACACCCCCAGGACTATTATAGACCTATCACCTGACAACACCATACCCCATAGAGACCTGACCCCGCCCACCAATCTATTATAGAGAGATGACACCCCCAGGACTATTATAGACCTATCACCTGACAACACCATACCCCATAGAGACCTGACCCCGCCCACCAATCTATTAGAGAGAGAAGACACCCCCAGGACTATTATAGACCTATCACCTGACAACACCATACCCCATAGAGACCTGACCCCGCCCACCAATCTATTATAGAGAGATGACACCCCCAGGAGTGTTGTAGACCTATCACCTGACAACACCATACCTCATAGAGACCTGACCCCGCCCACCAATCTATTATAGAGACATGACACCCCCAGGACTATTATAGACCTATCACCTGACAACACCATACCTCATAGAGACCTGACATCACGGGAAATACCCACAGTCCTCTGTGTTCTGTCTACAGAGCCAAAACAATCCCAGCACTGATACATAGTAACCAGTGATCACCAGGGAAGTGGGACTGTGTAGAGTCCATACATACAGAATAAGAGGAGATACCGAGAATGACACCCGGCATCCGGGACAGGAGAAGTGGGACTGTGCAGAGTCCATACATACAGAATAAGGACAGATACCAAGAATGACTGATCCGGGACAGGAGAAGTGGGACTGTGCAGAGTCCATACATACAGAATAAGGACAGATACCAAGAATGACACCCGGCATCCGGGACAGGAGAAGTGGGACTGTGCAGAGTCCATACATACAGAATAAGGAGGAGATACCGAGAATGACACCCGGCATCCGGGACAGGTGAAGTGGGACTGTGCAGAGTCCATACATACAGAATAAGAGGAGATACCGAGAATGACACCCGGGACAGGGAAGTGGGACTGTGCAGGGTAGAGCTAAGGAAATACTGGAGGAATATAAAATTATGGGATGGAATTTATTTATAGTATCAAAATTCTGTGTATAACTTTTCATTTCATTT